TATCAATCAGTGAACTTTGGCATAAAGCTTGGGTCTCAGTGAAAATAAGAATGATATTGAAACCATTTACCGATATAGCCAAAAACATCACAAACTAATAATTAACAACAAGAATAAATCTCAATAGCACTTATCACATAAATTTACTCAAAATGTATACAATGACGCGATTGACGTGACTTTATTGTATATTGATAATGCAGAAACTTTTTGTAGTTATATAGACAATGTTTTTAACTTGTGTTTGGGTTGGGTTGGATTGGGTTAGGTTGGGTTGGGTTGAGTTGTGTTATTGTTGCAAAATAAGTAGAAATTCTCGATGATAACATGACTACAAAGACGTCTAATTGAATCAAATGTAGTGATCATGATTTTGAGTCCGCAATTCAGAAAAGATGTAAACTTTGTACCGAGTTGTCTCGATGCGTACTTGATTGAGACATAACGCAGCTGTGATAGAAATTCCAAAATGCAGTTTGATGTAGAGATGATAGAGTAATAATTATATGATGGAGGCTTGATGTGAGCATAATTGAGATTCCTATAGATGCTGATCTGATAGATGCTGTGATGGGTGCTGGGTAAATACCTATCACGGGTAGGTATTTTTAAAATGTATAAATGTATACAAACAGTGCGTATAAAAGTGATACCAGTGAAAATATATCAGATTCCAAAAAAAATGAAGAGGAAGATGATGAAATCGACGTTGAAGACGTGGAATTATCAACAATCAAAGACATATTATCATCAGACGAATCTGTCGTAATTTAGATTAGATTAAGTTATTATGATTATTATCATCACGCAGCCCTCTGCGTCCATTATTGGACATAGACCTCCCCTATTCTGTTCCATTCGATTCTATTCTGTGCTGTCTGAATCCAATTGTTGGTCATTCTGTTGACATCTACTTGCTCATACTACACTGCTCATTCTTCATTCGCGCGACATAATTCGCCCAGTTCCACTTAAGCTTTGCCACAATGTTGACCACATCATTTACGCCAGTTCTTCTCCATAGGTCTTCATTTCGTATGTAGTCCCTCATAGTTACACCTAGGATCGCCCTCTCCATCTATCTTTGCGTTACTTGGACCCTCCTGGAAGTGGCTACCGTTAATGTTAAAGTTTGTACATAGCTGTCAACCCTCTCAATCTCATTATCCTCAATGTTGATGTTAGAGCTGGGAACAAGATTTGTCATAAATTTTGATTTCTCCTCGTTGATATTTAGCCCGACTCCTGCACACACCTCCTTTAAGTCGTTCAGCATTAGTTTAATCTCTCCAAGGCTATCCAAAATAAGAACTATATCGTCCGCGTAGCGCAAATTACTTAGGCATTTGCCATCAATGTTTATGCCTTTTTGGTCAATCCACTTGCTTAAATACACTCTCCAGGGCTGTGATGAACAATTTGGGATTAACAGTGTATCGCCTAACAATCAGTACTTTACTACTTCTACTCTCTTCAGTACTTTCATGCAATTTTGCCGTCATTGTAGCATTCTTGTAGATGTTATGAATAAGTTTGTTTTATCAATAATCGACTCTGCATTCTTAAAGTGCTTACAAAACTGCCATCAACTCAATTTAAAGTAAATCTTATAAATACCTCTAAATACCCATCTTTGGTACATACCCCGGAGTATATATCCAGGAAATTTTCCCTTGAAAATAAATACCCGGGTATTTAACAACAGTGGATTGATGTATTATACAGTCTCGATCCAGACTTGATTCTTACTTTCATAGAAAAAAGTGAAAAATTGACGTAGGGATGTTGTAAATTTTATGTGAAGTTATCTCGATGTAAGCTTGATGAAATTTGATCGTGACTTTAAAAATTTGATGCAGAATTGATAAGGTGACTTTATGCACTTTTGAAAAAGTTTTGATACAGTTCTAAATACAAACCTAACAGATTTATGATACAAACTTAATAGAGTATTTACTGTGTGCAGATTTGCTTTCATAAAATCACCGAACCATGCAATGATGGTGAAGATTTGTACTTGTACTTAATGCAGAGATGAAGAATAGGGAGTTGTAACATAATGGAAATTTGTAGATGCAATATTAATGCAGATCGGTCATTGGTTCCAGACTTGAATATGTATAAACCTGCCTTGATATGAATATAGATGTAAACCAGGTGTGGGCAAACTTAACACTGGTGTGATCGACATTAAATCTTATTTATGCGCGATCGACTTCGAAAAATGGGTTAAATTAAAAACAAATACAAATTTAATTAAGGTCATTATTGTTAATAATATATTGAATACATTGTGTTTACTATTTTGTGCAATGTACTTGTATCAGTCAGAGAACTCTTAAATTGCGATTTGATGTTTTTCATTTGAGAAAGCCTGCTTCACATAGATAAGTGGAACAAAATAATGCAAATATCCTCATTGCCACCGATCTCAATAATGGATAATAAATTCCAAAAATAATTTTCATTTGCACGTGCTTTCAGAATTATATCTGATTGTATTGTTAACATTTCTAACTGTAGAGTCGATGAATTCAATTGAAAAGTATAAGCTAGATTTGATTAAATATTCTCGTTATCGAATTCCTTAAACTTCGCACTTTTATCGAATTTCCAATTTTCACTACTACATCCATAATATCCTTAACATTCAATATTTTTGCACAAAAGGCATTTTGTGAATTATGCAATGAAATGATATAAAATCAGAAAACTGTTCATTTTGTATGCAAAGGGCTAAAAATCCATGATTTCTATCAATCATTGAAGTAGACATAGCAACCAATTTATGCCAAGACCAATTTGTTTTTTGGGCAAATGACATAAAAGTTGCCATCATATCTGGACCTCGCGTTGTTCTCTTTATGGGAAGTATTAAAAAATTATAAATTATACACGATTAACAAATTAAATAAAGCGCCGAGTAAATAGAAAAATCTGTCTTCTTCAACAAATTGATGACATGTACTACAAGTAACCATAGTTTTATTATTTTTATGGACATTATGGATACTTCTGGTATCTCTCGATATTGGGAAAGAAAATCTACCAAATCTTTCGGAAGTGTCTAAATTTTGGCTCGTGCTCTCATATGTTTGTCCATAAAAGCCAACCCTAGTTCAGTTAAAAATTTCCGTCGTCTATGGGGTCTCTGTAGTGGTTTTGTATTATTGCCTTAATTTCAGAATTTATTCCTGCAATATCTAGGATTCGAAAGAAAACAAGAAGCCATCTTGTGGTAACTCTTTGCGTAGTATAAAACACACATTTCTGGTCAACAGTATCTGCACCACTTTTTGTGCTATTGTAATATAGGATTATTTCTGGTTTGTTTGGTTCTTTGTCTACTTCTTAGATAGGAAACAATGTTCATATTTTCTTGAAATCCAAATAGAGGAACTTCTTTTTTGTTTCTTTTCATCGTACCAATCAACGTAAGACCATTTTCCAGAAGATAAACAGCCGAAGGATAGCTAGTATAGTAATTATCGGTTGTTATACATATTTCGATTAGAATTTCTTCGATTTCATCAATCTCTGAACTATGTCGAACGGTTTATTGGATGTCTTGTAAGGTCCATCGGGTTGTATTAAACAATATATCTCGAATATCCAAGTATAGAAGGTCTTGCTATCACACAGAGCATACATTTTTATGCCATACTTCGTTGGAATGGATGAAATGGATCGAAATGGATGTAGCATCTCATCTATTGTTACAAATTCTCCCAAATTGTAACTATTCATGCAATTCTTCACAAAACTATCGTAAATATTTCTGATAGCAGCTAATTTATCAGTTTTTTCTTGATTCTTTCTAATTCTTATTTCGTCAAAACATAAAACGCGAAGTAGGAACAAAACACACTTTTAGCTAAATGCAGCCCTTAGTCTTATCATTCCAGTGCTATCTTTGGTCCATAATTCATGGACATTTACATGATTGATTTGCCGCAATAATGAACAGTGCTCACAACAAAGCTTGAATTTCGATACAGCATGTAATGGCTTTGTGTAAGATATAATATTGTCAAATATGTCCTTGGTTAGAAACATAAAGAAAGACTCTAAACTTTTGCTAATCCTTTGGACCCAGGGATCACTTTGACAATATTTTTACGTTTTGTTATTGCTACATTAACTATTGCCTAAGATAGCCAACCAAATATACTTAGGGTGCCACATTATAATACTACATCAAAATGGAAAAAACTAGTTTAAGATGACATAAAGAATTTTGACAAAATATTTATTAAATGATGAGTTTGAAATTAAAAAAATCTCAAATTTGCATAAATTTTTAATATAAATATATTTTGATTATTTGGAGTTTTGTAACAAAATAAAATCGGTTATAAAACCAGTATATCGACATTTCAACTTTTAATTAAAACCGAGCTCGTTAACTGTCGCCACCAAAATTCACTACTCCAACTTCAATCTTCCCTTCACCCCTCCATTGGAAATTCCAAACGAAATTTCCAAATTTTTCGCCGGCAACTCGAAAAACTAAATCCCGATCGAGGGATCTATTCAATCTATTACATCGTTGGCGCTATCAGCGCCGAAACACTCGCGCATTTTCCCTTGGCGTGGTTTCGGTGGGGAGAATTTTATTGACTCACTTGGGGTCGCTGTAATATTGAAAGTGTCGCCCCTCGAGCTTGTACTACATTAATTTAAACGGTTTCGTGGCGTTATGCGGATTCGGTACTTTTCGAATTCAACCCTGTGAGAGGGTGGAGAAATCTTCTTGTTGGGGTGTAGATCCCCGACTACGAATTGCGGATTTATTATGTTTGGTGTTCTTTGCGACCCTTCAACAAAGACCCTTTTACAGAGTGTTGATTATTATTAGCCGGGATTATCAAAGGGGAACGCTTTGTTCTTTCCCCTTTTTTTGTTGAAATTAATTTAGTTTATTTTAATTTGAACATTGTTTTATCTTTTTTTTTTTTTGTAAATTTATAAACTAATTTCGTGTATTCTTTTTGTTTTAGGACGAAGTAAGTAATTTTTTCCAAGCCGAGAAAAAATATCCAACAGAAAAATAATCAGATGTTTATAACGAGTGAGAAATCCTTTATTATTAATTTTTAATTTAAAGAAAAAGCACATCATTATTTAAAATGATACAATCCACCTGTCGACTGAGTTTTGATATCTAAAATCACCCAAGCGGATCGGCTTGAGATCCCGCAAACTAACTAAAGAAATCGAATTTACATAATTTACATAACGCGTTTGATCAAACGACTCTCAGGATATCCGCTATTTCGATGGCACAACTTTTTTTTGCGGTTTCTAAACGATAATTAAAGCCGATAAACAAACTATGAGATAAGTGTAAGTGAAATTATTTATTCAAATTAAATTTGTTAATTTAGAAATGGAAAATATGAGAACTTTATCAAAAGGATATGATTTTTTTTGAATGAGATAATTCCAGGCTCGTTTTAGCTCACTTCTTTAACATGTAAATTACCTTCACGCAAAGATATCACTTAACTCTACGAATGCTATGTTAATTACATACGGTAAGTGTTAAATAAGTTTCTCGTAAATTTCAACTCCTTAGACATGGATGGAATCATTAGTAAACGTAAAAGTTGTTTATTTTTCCTGGTTATTCAATAATCTAAAAAGCTTCGTCATCGAACTTCCAAAACGCCTTATTCATTACTAAGGTGGTGTTTACAAGAGGCGAGAAAGGAAATTGGAAATGTTCCTCCCCTCTTTTAGTTTCCTTTCGAAGGAAAAGCCATTGAGAAGGAAAAACGAACTGGGTAGGAGGTGTTTTCGCCACCATTTCCAACTCCATCAAAAGGGTGATTAATGAACACCTCATTCGTCGTTTGCTGTTAATTCCCTTGCGCGTTTCTTGACTCCACTCGGTTCCCTCTAGCTCGCGGAATGACGAAGATGACTTTGCGAAAATCGCTTTGTGCAAACAGAAACTTCTTCGGGTAGGAACGAGCACGGATCGCTAGAAATTGAATAAATTGATTGGTTCTCTCAACACTTCTTTATAAGATTTAATGAATTCCTATTTCTACCGCGTCCAATAGCGCGCATCCAAATTTGACGGTAGATTGCATCTTTCGCGACCGTTATTTTCAGAAGAAGGTCTCGCTGGCCAGATGATATGTATTTAACTTTACTACTTCCTAATCATAAAGTGTTCACTTACTTGATATATTAAGAAAATTGTTTAAAATTGTATGTACATTCACGATTTTCATAGTTCATTCAAAAAAAAACTTCTTGTACTTACTTAACTTCTTTTATCTTGTACTTAAATAATTAACCACAATTTTTTTCTGAATCACATTTTTTCTAATTTGTTTTTATATTAACGATTACCACGTTAGATACAGCAATTAACGAACTTGTTCGAACAAACTCAACCGTTCTCAACTCAAACAACAAGTTTTTGTTATCAAAGCTTTTTCCTAATCGTCCAATTTACTGTCGCGCTTTACTGTCGTCCTTTACCAACATCAATCGACTTCCTTTAATTAAACATTGTAAGAAGATTGAAAAAAACCGTCGTATACATCCCAAGAGATCAATTATCACCTTACTTTTTCTACCCCACTTTTATTTTTTTAACTTTTTCCTATATAAACTTTTTATGTATTTCTCGATCCACTTGAGTTTACAAGTAATCTTTAGTTGTTATCGTCATCGTCTTTAGAATCCACTTCTACTTCACCAACATGAGAAGAGGATCTCTTCAAAGTGAACCACCGCATACTGGAAATTCTCTTCTTGGTATCTCTCTTGCTCTCCCGTAATAAGCTCCAGCTTGTAAGTGTCACGTGAGCTCGCTAATTGTTTCCCCTTTGGCGAATTGTCTTAACGCCGATCCAATATAACTGTCACCAGTCACATCTTAGTAGCAGTACCCCTCTCGAAATTAAACGTCACTACGTTTAGCGACAAGCTCGTTTCAGTTTCAAACCACAAATGGATTTACATAAATATTACCATTCAAAATTAATTTGTCTACTAAATATGTAGGTATGTTGTTTAAAAAAATAAAAATAATGGAAAAGTCATTATAAATAAACATTGGCAGCTTGATTACACATTACTTTCTGGACTTGCCTTCAAAAATTGGATTCTGAACTAGGTTTGTATTCATCTTTAAACTCTTCGCTATCTTATTCTGTTTCTGGATCATCTTCTTGTTCTTCAACGTTATCTTGAGAATCAAATCTTATCTCTTTAATTGTCCACGGCCCATCTCTAACTCTAGTTTTGCCACATACAAGTATTCAGAGATCTTGAGCATCTTCTCATCCTTTAACTTTAATTTATTAACAGTAATCAAAAAGTTGCTTCACTAACGAATTCTGATTGAATCACATTTATTTCCTGGTTATCTAGGTAATTTTGAAAAATTAAAAAACTCATTTGTGAAATTGTTCTCATTCCAGTACAGAACCAATACTCTGCATGCAATAACCACCAAATGAGCTTTACAAACCACCCATTCAACCCGCCTCAAAATGTTTATTCAACGTAAGAGTTCCCGTGAAAATGTAAAAGGCAACCTAATAACCTGTTTGACTGCTAGAATGCATCTGCGACTACTTAGCAGTGGTAATTCACTTCTCAATCAACCAAAATAAATTGCCTCATAACGTTAATGTATCTTTCACATTTCGTTACTACATGAGTATGCTGTCGATTCCCAATTATTTAGATGCACCACCTTCTGCATTAGACTTGTAAACTAATACTTGTGGTATGTTTTGGTTTAGCAACTTGGAGACTTTATCAGAAGCCCAAACTAAAAAAGTTCCGAAGTCGCCACCGAAAGTTTAGTGTTTCATAATCCAAATTTTGACAAACTAGAATCTGAACGTCTATAATAAATTGGCAACTCAAAGACATGCCGCTTATTGAATGGGACAGTCATAGTCATCGTTAAATTATTTGCCGCAGGCAGTTTATTACCAGTTAGGAATATTACCAGTGATTAATCTATTGAAGAAGCCAGATTTGACTGCGATGCGTAAGGCTAACGACCGATGGTTCTTCATCTATACGATTTCGTCATAATTGTGTTTCATCAAATGTAAAGTCTCCAAAGATCGTTATTACTGTGTTTGTTGCTAAAACAGATTGTTGTTCTCTGAAAAAAAACTGCAAAATTGTGTAAAGTGTTGAACTACCAGAATACGATTATTAAACATTGGTCGAATTATGGCCGTTTATTCTAGAGAGATATCTTGAAAGATGATTTACCTCTCTTTTCTAGCTGTAGATGCTAAATTGCTAGTTTGACATTGTTTGCCAAAGTTTGCTGGAAGACTTTTAAACTTATAGTAAGGACTATGCCAGTTGTACTATTATGTACGATACTTAAACACAAATTAATTATAAGTCTAAAAAGCTCGTCGTCTAAAGGTTAATTGAAAAATTTACCGTAACCATAGAGAACTATGACACCACAATTACTGGAAAACATGGAAAAATATCCAAAATCCTTAATGTTATCTCGGAAACAAGCTTCATGAAACGTCACGTTTACAAATTTATTGTATTTCTTTCTGTTACACCCTGTATAAATATTGCGTATTTTTCACAGTTTTAACAGTAGCCTAGGCAAGTAGTTCAAGAAGACCAACTGAATCAAATCTGCTGATCTTGGCACTTGACTGGCAATAGCGACATAATGTTGTGGAGTGCCATCTTTTTGAAAAAAGAAGGTATCTTTAAATTGAGTTGAATCTACACACAAAAAAAACAATTCAGAATTTGATGATCCCATCAGTAATTTTCTTTATTTACTTATCCACTCAATTTTTGGCGAAATCTTCATCATGATTGCAAAATTATTCTAACTACTAAAATGCTTCAATCTCAACTACACCAACCCAACTATCAACCGATTTCTTTCAGAAGCATACAGGGAACATTCTCAAATGATGTGATGACTGCTTTTCGTCCTATAATCACAATCATTACTTTTTTCTTACCCTAAACAGTTTGACCACACAACAAAAAAGTAGTATGTAAGCCCAAATTAAACACACTTTCAGTTCATCAACTAATATCAACAATTCCTTAATTACACGTCTGCAGCTTGATAACTATAATGATTTGGTAATCTTTCTGGTACTTCTCGATGTGCAAGTGCAGAGGATGTAGAAAAAGCAGAGTTCTAGTATGAGAAAGCTTGTTGGGTTTTCTTTGTACCAGGCTGCTACTTTAACTACTGCCAATATAATCTTTAATTGGCATAAAAGAGATCCATGTGAAGTTGTGAGCCACATGGATAACAATGCTTTATATAGAACTTACTTTTTCTGCTTCTTCCACTTGTTTTCCACCTGGTGATCCATTCAATTCGGAATTCGTAACCGAAGTGTGTGTTGTGATGTGGATTTCCACCTGTCTATTTTGTGATTCCATCATTTGAGAGGTCTTCCTGGTCTTTTAATGGCAGTTGGATCTTCCACATGATCAGATCCTTTTCTTCTTTGTCTCCCCCATCTTATCACATCAAGTATATCTCATTGTTCTTTGATGTCTTCTTATCCGATCTCTTTTAATCTTACCTAGGATAGTTGACAACGTTGTCATTTCTGCAACTCATAGCCTTAGTTTTCTTCTTTTATCTCTATTCCGTATGACATAACAGGCCTTATTCAAACTTTACAAATTTTTATCTTGGTCTTAATACTGATAAAGATATCGCCTTGTTAATCTGGTTTCTTAAGTCTTTTGCTATGTCATGTCTGCTGGAGATATCCAATTCAATATGTTTGAACTGACTGACTTGTTCTATAGGCTTGTCTTTTGCCATAAGTTTGTATCTAATTGGTTCTTTGGTAATTGTCATGACTTTTTACTTTGTAAAAACTATTCAGTAATAAATACTTCACAGCTTCGTGGCCCAGATTGTACATTCATCTGGAGGATATTAGAACCAGAAAAGAATAAGGCTGGCATCGTGGAGGTAGCAACTCCTTGGCATGAAGTATATTAAAAACAACGCTATTGTCAAGTATATAACGAACCCAACTCGTTAATCATACCTAGGAAGTTATATATCAACTTCACAAATAGTCTTACACTTACTACATTATATAAAACAAATTCTGCTGACTTTTCCGTTTGACTTAGATGACCAGTTATGGCATCCTCAAGGTTCATCACACAGAAAGAATGTTACCTAACTATTTTTCGACATTTTTGCTGTTTGTGATTGGTATTTGGTTCCTCACTTTTATTCAGGTTTGGCAATATCTCTCATACTAGAAATACGAATTATTAATTATTATTGTAACATTATTCATAATAATTTAAATAAAATTCTAGAGCGTAATTCTAATATACTACTTTCAACAGATTGTCATATTCAAGAAATGAATCTCAAATACATAAAAGTATTTCTATTCAAAGATCTGGTTACATTACTTTGAATTGTAAAATAAAATATTTGTCGTTCTATTCGTGTAGAAAGCATGTTGAAGTTGTTTGTCAACATTGTAAGGGCGTGTTCTTATCAAAGAATGAACTGAAACGAATATGTCCTCTGTGGTTCGAAGAAATCCGAAAATATGATTCCTTCGACTTACGTTGAAGTCGGCAATCAATCAGGGAGTGGGCCGAACGTTTTCGACGGTTTATATTCTTCTTCTGGGAACTCCCAGTTTGTTCGTACTTGATGACTTGGTGAAGTATCATGTGTAATGCATGATCGTATACAAAGTTTATAAAACAAAAATATACATTAAATAAATTTTTTTTTATTAAATAAATATGTTTTGTTTTTCTTTTCAGGTCCAAGAACAAGACGTGTAAAAAAACCGGGTACAAAAACGACAGCAACTCCTGAAGAGAAACGACCGAGGACGGCATTTTCAGGGGCCCAATTAGCAAGGCTGAAACACGAATTTGCCGAGAATCGATATCTAACGGAAAGGCGAAGACAACAACTGAGCCAGGAATTAGGTTTGAATGAGGCGCAAATTAAAATCTGGTTTCAGAATAAAAGGGCGAAAATTAAAAAAGCCTCCGGCCAAAAAAATCCGTTAGCTTTGCAATTGATGGCTCAGGGATTGTATAATCATTCGACGATACCACTTTCAAAGGAAGAGGAAGAACTTCAGGAAATGCACGGAACGAAATCGTAGTTTCAATAAGAATGGTTAGATGGTGATATATTCTTTAAGTTAAAGTTTTAATTAGAAGTACTTTATTTGGTCGACTATTGTTAAATTTTTTTTACTTTCTCATTTAAAATTCTTTTAAAATCTTTTTTGCTTATATTTTTTGTTCCAATTCTTACAAATCACGTCGGATTTAACCACGAAAATGGAACAATCGTCGACCGAACCGTTTAAAGAGGCTGATGGTACGTGATCGCATTCCTCTCGTCTGTGCTGACGAAGTAAAGAAACTTCTTCGTAGTTTCTTCATTTTATTTCTTGTTTTTCTTGAAGACATCTCCTTTTCGTATCCATCGGTGTCGATTCTCGAATTTTACAATTCTTGGAGCCACGTGCCTGCAAAAACTAGATTAATGTACCATTCATTTGAACACAATTGCTGGGCCGCATGTGTGGCACTCGGACTCTCCTTTCAGAGCACAACTTTTTTTTATACATTTCTTTTTCTTTCTTGATGTCAGCAGAACCGAAGAGAAAATGCTTTCGCGTCAACGGCCACGCATTGTGTGATAAAACCCTCCCCTTTAAAAAAAAACAAATAATTATAATCGAATGCGAATGTGTCGTTTATAATTTTATTTTTAGTTAAATAATGAAATTAATTGCCGAAGGAGATAGAGAAAAAATTAAAAGCAAATATTTAGCGATATTTATTTATTTTTAAAATATAAAATCAATTAATTATTGAGTTTATTTGTGCGTCTATGTAATATTTACGGACATTTTGTACATGATTAATTCGTAATTCGTAAATAGTGTTTTTTTTTTTTTTGTAAATAGTTAGATGTATAAATCACAAATTATTGTATCAGTGTTTAATAAAATAAAAAAAAAATATTTTAATGTTTTTATTTTAATAAACACCCTTATTTTTTTGGCTGTACTTAATATATCACGTGGATAAACGCTTATCTTATTTTTCTTGTAAATTATTTTCGAAAAAACGAATACTAAAAATTGTAACCACGTTGAATATTTATGTATAACTCTAACAAATTGAAAATAAAACAAAAATCGTGTATTTAATATACAGTTTGTATCATATTATAGTAAAGAAAATAAATTAAAATTAAATAAAAAAAATAATTAGACAACGGTATTGTTAGTAAAAAAAAACGATATAATTTAACGAAAACGATATTGTACCATAGATTGTAAATTGATGCAATAAATCTGATATATCTATATACTACTATCTACTTGTTTTCTTTATCATCCTCAAAAGTAAGCAAACAAGTTATCGTATTATTAATAATTTGTTGTGAATTATGGTTTCTAATGCCACGGTTTACTACACGTTGGAATTAGAACTGTCACAATAAACAAACACTTTATCGAAGCGATATAAATTCCGTTTGGCACAAAAATACGCGAAATATTGAGCCAACCCATACATTTTGTGGACGCACAATTAGTAGAGCATGAAAATGACACTGAATTTATTACGACTGCGTAACAAATTTGATTTAATTTGTACGCTAATCACTATTTATAGATATTTCTATTCTATATAAGATGTATGGAACGTTATACGAATTAATTTATATTTGCAATAATTTTAATTAAAAAATCTTTCTTAAATTAATTAAACTAATAATATATAAAAACTATTACAAATTATAATTGAGCTCACAAAATTCTATCTAAAAACTAACTTTAATGATTATCATGATTTTAGTTTGGTATATAAGATAATGCATGCATAAGTGAGACCGTGATCTAATTTGCTGACACAACTTGAGACTTGAAAATCAATCTTATCGTTCACTAGTTTCTTCAAGTATAATATAAAATTAGTACCCCTTTTGGTAGATATCGATTTACGAGATACATAAAGTTTACTTGAAAAAAATCAGTTGATAAAACATAAAAATCGGAATCATAAACTATACTGTAGCTGAGAGTCATAAATATCATTTTCAGAGTACGCCGGTGAGCACATCTCGTCAATATGGGACAAAAAGACAGTTAAAAGTGTAAACCCTGTTTAGAGGGATGGAAATAGCCTCATAAATGAAGTCTATCATATTTTTAATGTAACATCTGTATTAAATCAAAATATGTTGACAACATCCGAGTGATCTTACATTTATAAAATTTTTTAAATCGTTTGTTATGCAAATATTGGGCAGGTAAGCGAAACAAATAGGTAATATCATATCAAAGTATAACCAGGTTGGATTCCTAAAACCCCCAGGTGCAGGTAAATAACCACTAATATTCTTTATAAAAACCAGATTAAAGTGTTCCCATAAAGTACGATATCATCAAAGTTATGGAACCAGGGACCAGCATTCCGAAGCAACTTAATTCGATCAAAGTCTCAGATACAAATACCGTTTAGTGCACTTAAAATAAATCATTTATAGATGTGTTGTTGCAATGAAGGATACAATACAGATTCGTTCCTCGATTCCTGCTTAGTAACCAGTTGTTTGGTTCACTATATTATGTATTGGTGTAAGATAATATTGTCAAATATACACAAATATCTAGATGTCACTAGAATTACCCTTCAAGTTTATAAAGGCACATAACAAATAGTCGTGACTCCCACTTGACATTGTTGGACTTTACTAAAACTCTTTCAAAATCCTTTGAAAATAATGTAGTTTGCTGATGTATTATTGACACCAGCTGCAACATAGTATATAATAGTTATTTCCACCGTCTCAGCAATGTGGTTCAAATGAAAAGAAAACCAGAAAAGGTAAAAAAAAAACTATAATGATAATAAGATATACGAAAGGATAGATCGAAGCAGATACTTGATGGAAAAAATGTTAGCACCTAAATTATAGAAGTTTCCAAAAGAGAAGAGATTTTAGATGGAATAATTAGAACGAATACATTAAATGAAAAAGAGGAAGAGAATACGAGAAATAATGCTAGATGAAACAAAGATGTTAGAAAAGCTACCTGAATAGAAAAAGATGCTTGTTGGAAGCCTATGTTAGTAGGAAGAGGAAGATGGAAATGGATCAAAGAAGATAATTTATGAAAAATACGTAAAATGGAAGAAGGTACTGGTTGCAAATATGGTGTTACAACTAATATGGAGAAGATGCTTGATGGAAAAATATATTAACAGATAAGGGAATATGTTACATGATTAAAAGAGGGTAATTGATGTAAAATATGCTGAACAGGAAACTATATTAGCAGCTAAACTAATGGTGTCAAAATGTCAGAATAGAAAAGAATTGAATGGAAGAAGATTGTAGATGAAAATACAAAAAAAAATGACAACTAACTTTAATCAGCTGCTACCGAATATCACTGTACCACCTGGGACATTTTGCCTGTAGCAAGTCGGTTTAATTGAGGTTCGTGATATAATCTGTTCTTTAAAGAATACTTCTTCTAGAAATGTATACGGATTAAATGCTGTAATATTAAAGCTGATAAAAGATGTAATATCATCACCTTTAACAAAATTAATCAATCATTGTATGAGAGAAAATACTTTTCCAAAAAAGTTAGCATTATACTTTTACCTGTACTCAAATTTGCAACATTGATAAAGCAATTTCTGTTGTACAATGTTGTACAGAAGAAAATCCTGGGTGGCAGAATAACTTATCTGAAAAATTGAGTCAAATATCATATGAAAATAGTATTTAATTTTTTAATTGAGGTTCGTGATATAATCTGTTCTTTAAAGAATACATCTTCTAGAAATGTATACGGATTAAATGCTGTAATATTAAAGCTGATAAAAGATGTAATATCATCACCTTTAACAAAATTAATCAATCAATGTATGAGAGAAAATACTTTTCCAAATGCTTTAAAGTTAGCATTACACTTTTACCTGTACTCAAATTTGCAACATTGATAAAGCAATTTCTGAAGCAACAATGTTGTACAGAAGAAAATCCTGGGTGGCAGAATAACTTATCTGCAAAATTGAGTCAAATATCATATAATAGCTATATGGAAATTGAAGTTGGTAGGCCTGAATAAACATTTGATAGAACAATATGATAGATAGACCAAGATTCAATAGCTATATTGAAACTGATGTCAGATGAGGCAATCAGCTAGATAAAAAAATAATACAAAGAAGAATAAAAATAAAACAATACTACATAAAAAAGGAAATTAGATAGTTGAGCTTTCTGGAAAGAATGTTTGCGGAGAAAGTAGTTAGATGAACGAACAGTTTGCAGTTATTTCAAATAAGAAAAGTGGTTTTCCACTTAATTTTCCATTTGATTTAACTTAATACAGGATTGAATTAAAAATGATATTTATCCTAAGAATATAATAAATTGAGCATAGACAACATCCAAAACATCCACAACTGGTTCAGTTGTAAATAAATAAACGACGAAAATGACTAAACAAAATTTCTATATAACTATAAATTTAGTTCGAAAACCTAAAATTTCCAATTAATTCAAATAATAAGGAAGTAACAAAGGAAATAATAAGTTATTATTGTTGGAAGTGTTAACGATGAAATGAATGTGTCGAATTGGATTCTAATATTTAAAAATTGCATCATAAAGAAAATTTTAACTTTAATGTGCAATATTAAAGAATAAATGTAGTTATATAAAGTTTCCCATAAAGATTTCTAAAAAATTTCAACACAACAATACCTTAACCATAAGTTACTTGTATCTTCGATGAATTATAACGGTGGTAAACGTCCCGCAAACACAAATAATAGGGCAGTTAAGCCATTTTACAAACAATTCCGCTCACGATTCCACAACAATTCGCCTGCTATAACGACACATAAAAATGATTTAATATTATTTCAGTATCGCGTGACGTCAGCAGGAAAAAGAAGGAAGTTACTACCAGCAAGGATTAAACGTTTTTACTATTACTCAAGAAGGAAAAAAAAAATAGAAAATCTTAATTACCCTTCACACCGACTGGTCAATAAATCTTTCTGCACACCCGCTTATTAGCGGAATGTTTGGAAAAGGCGTGAAAATCCGTCCATACATCACACCAAACCGAATCGCCTCCCCCGTGGGATTTTGCGGTTTAAAGTTACGGTTTGTTTTGAAATGTGGCACGAAATCTGGAAACAACCCGGACTTCTGGCACGTGACATAGAAGACTACGACACGCGCCTTGTCGCATTTTAACACGCAACACCACGCCTATCTGTCTCTTTAAAATGAAATATTTAAAATTTTACGACCACTTAGGGTAAAATTTTAAATAAAATTTCGAAAAAAAAAACATTTTCAAAATTTTAATTGTAAGTGACATCGTGTGTGATCGAACCCTTTCAAATTAATTTGATGGCAACAGGAAGTTGGGGGCCACACGGGGTCAAATGCCGAAACGTAGGACCTCACAGGGTTTGGTATGCGAAACGGTAGCGAAGGATCGAGGGATCCTCTTGGAGGTCCACAGGTAACCTCGGCGATCCTTCTTCGGGATTAATTAAATCGGTCACAGAGACGTCTACCTTCGACGTTTAATCCAATTACCAAAGAACGTAATCTTATTAGTTGAATAGTTGTTGTTGGTGTTGTGTAATATAATATTTAACATTTTAAACCCTCAAATCTACTATTTTTAGATAATTTTTTAACGTATATCTATTCATACCTATGCCAGTCTAAAAAT